TATAGGGCTTTCAGCCCTCTCTAAGCGGTTTACAATATATATATTTTTTTAGCAAATTGAGTCAGCAACTTGCCCCCACAGTCCGGGTCCTCATGTCACCCACCTCGGAAGGATGGAAGGCTGAGTCGACCTTGAACTGGTGTGATTTGAACCGCTGGACTGCAGATCACAGTCAGCTAAAGTGGCCTGCAGTACTGCACCCTAACCACTGCGCCACCTCGGTATTGCCTTATTTAAAACATTATCTTTGCCACTAAGTCCTCTAGAACAGGTATGCAAGTATACAGCATTCTGTTGCATTTTAGCCTTTCCAACTTTATGTCCAAATTTTGAACTCCTTAATTATTAGCCCCTGACCTTCATGTACTTCCTTTTTGCTTCTCAGCTTGTTAATGAGTGTGTTGTTCATTCATAAGGCTTTCTTGATTTATTTATTTAATCTGTTTTTATGTTCAGTATCTTGTTTTCCAGAAAGGTCCATCCCTCTTGGCTTGTTTACACTTTAGAAATTTGAGCTATAGTTTGCTGCTCACTTTTCCTCCCGAATCCATTATAATAAGTTCTTCCTGAAGTCCAAAATTTATTTCTGACTTTTACCCCCCAACTTCAATCATTCTAGTTATGTTGAACCCCATGCCTTTTTTTAAAGTACCTATAATATTCAATTCATTAACGGAGTCCTCTTTTTAATCAGAATTAGAATCCCACTTTTTGGAAAATAAAATTGTCATTAATAAAGATCAGTCATTGTTTGGATTGTCCACTCTTAGCTGAATGAGTCTTCAAGCAGCTACAAGGTCAGCTGAATATCATGTCCCTAGCATGTCCCCTTTAGTAGTTGATGGGTTGATTTAGGGCTGATCCACACAAGCTGGTTGTTCCAAAACAAGAACATTCCACCAAAGAGAACAGACCACCCACAACATTGTTCTCTGCTCAAACAAAGGTCCCTGAGATGACTTTTCCTGCTACATATCAAAAGTACGTAAAACATAGAACATGAAATCATAGGGCTGGAAAGGGCCTTGGAAGTCTTCTAATTGTGCAAAGCAAAGAGTCCTTATACCACCTCTGACAAATGGATGTCCAATCGTTTCTTCAAAACCTCCAGCAATACAGCACCCACAACTCTAGGAGACCAACTATTCCATCAGTTAATTTATCTCACCGTCAGAACATTTCTCCTTAGTCCTAGGTAGGATCTCTCTTTAATGAACTTCTACCTTTTGCTTCTTGTCTTACCTCAAGTGCTTGGAAGAATAAGTCAATCCCCTCTGCTCTGTGACTGCCCCCCAAGTACCCAAGTAGCATTTTCTCATTTGTGCCAGCTCCGAGCTGCTTGCCTTTCTTGCCTCAAATATCAGATTGATCACACCTCTTGCTGCCTACTGGTAATGCAAGGTATTCTAATGTTAGGATCTTGAGCATACAGTCCTTCCTCCGTCCCCATCTTTACACACACATCTGCACAAACGCTACTGTTCCACCTGCCAAACTATCCTACACATCCACAGATCAAGGCTCCATTGCGCCCAATCTGATCTGCAATCTTTCTCTCTCTCTCTTTCTTTCTTTCTTTCTTTTTCTTTCTTTCTTTTTCCTTCCTTCTTCCTTCCTTTGAAAATAAGGCTCTCAAAACGTTCATGGGCGTCCCGGCTCCCTTCAGCTCCGAGGTTACCCTGAGGTGGGGGTTGCACGCGGACCCTCTTTCCCTCCCCGCAAAGCGCCTGCACGGAAGGTAGAATGTTTGACCTGGCTGGCGACGAGCACCAGGGGGCGCTGCCGAGCCAGTTGCTCCGGCAGGGCTAAGGATGAAGAGGCGGGCGAAGGCCGGAGATCACCAGGCAGACTACAGGCGAGACCCGCCCGGATGACTTCAGTACTGCAGCAGCTCATGAAGGTGTTTGTGACTCGGAGGATCCCCCCAGCGGGGCAGGCGGTCTTGACTCAGGCCGGCGTGTAAGTGGGCTCGCCTGGCTTCCTAATGCAAATAGAGAAGGGAGAATCGGTTGCTTTTTTTCTTTTTTTCCCCCGAAGGGGGTGTGTGCGCCCGGTTTGTAGTGTTGCTCAAATCTTCGGAATGGCTGCGGCCATGGTGGACACACACACACACGTTTGGGTGTTCGCCTTTGAGGAGAGCGACGAGAGTTGCAAACATTTGGACGGCCAGCACGGCCAAAACCGACGCTTCTCGGCTGTTGGCTGACGTGGGTTTTTTTTTGCAGCCCTGATGCGGGTCCAAACTTTTCCTAACGGGCTCGTGGGAAGCGAGTGCGCGCGCGTAAACAGACTGTTGGGGGGTGGGGTGGGTGTAAAAACGTCTTGCTTCCAGCCGAGCGTTCATTGTTTCTGGTGCGGAGCAGGGCCGCTAAAGCTGCAATGCCTTCTGGCGGGGTTTCAAGCGCGGTGGGGAGGCCGCGGGTTGCTGCAGTTCCAGGTTCCCGCTTCGCTGCTTTCTTCTTCCCTGAGACGGGAGGGAAAAAGGTCGATATAACAACCACAGGTTCAGTCCTGCTCCGTGTTAGACAATGGGCAGATCCGGTTGAGAAGCTGAATTGGACGGCTTGTTGCTTCTGAGACGTTTCTTCTCCCTTTAGCCTTCCTTCTTTTGCCCGCGTTTGGGGATTATTATTCTGTTATGAAAACTTGGATTGGACCTCTTCAGTGTTAATTTAGAACAGGGCAACATGGCAACTTTTAAGACTTATGGACTTCAACTTCCAGCATAGCTGGCTGGCAGATTCTGGGAGTTCAAGTCCACAAGTTGCCAAGGTTGTGTAGGAAATAAGAAAATTCAAAAATGAAATAGTATGTAGGTATATAGGTTAGAAATGCATATAAACATGTTAGAAAGTGGCCCAGTTAAGGGAACATTCCTTAATGCCAAGGAGACAGAGATAAGAAGCAGCCATGGTAGCAAAATATTTTATGGGCAGTTATTGGGGGGAGGGGAAGCATCAGGATGGAAAACTATAAAGGAATTCAAAATTAAAATATAATGAAAGGAAACATCATTCTATAAACATTTGTTCTATTGTAGAAATATATTATGCTGTTATAAAAGTATTTTCCTTTTAAGCATTTAATTGTTAAACATTTGCAAAACATATACCTTTGTAAAAACATATGTATGAAAACAATTGTAACCTTTTAACATTATAAATCCTTTTATGTAATCCTTTTATAAAAAAAGGACACATTCTCTCATGTAGAACCTTTCACTCCCATTTTTTGGTGTATATTCCTTAACACTAGAAAGCTTGGAGATGCTAACGTACACAAAATATTCAAAGAGTTAGTTAATGGGTAACAGGTAGGGATAGACAGGTGTGTTGAGTAGGTTAATTTGAGCAAAAAAGGAAAGAGATAATAAATTATCCTGAGTCACTTTGGATTAGCTACCACTCCAGAGTGTATAAACAATAAATCCAAAGGAAAAGGGAGATGGGGCGTTGGGGAAAAGAACTGTATATAATGTAAGTTTTCTGAAATCCAAGGTGTGTCTCTTGGCTAAAAACTTCATGTTGAAGGTGTAGCCTGAGATTCACTGCACTTTTGCAAACTGCTAATATTTTTGAATAAAGTTTCTTTGTTTTCACTGACCCAGTTTTTGTTGGCTGATTATTATTTCCAAAAGTTGGACACTCCTGATTTAGGGCAACATGGGAGAGATCCACCGTTGCGCTTGCTTTTTGCCCATCTAAATTTCTTAAACTAGCTTTGGATAGAGCAAACATTAAAGCCATATGTGCAGTAATTAAAAATCTCCACTTCTGCCAAAATTATTATTGTTCTTCACAATTGTTGACCAATCCAAACCGAAGAACATTCAACAGGGTGAGCTTTGGTTTATCAAATTTGTTATTCATTGTGAGGAATAGCTGTCTTTTCATTCTTTTCATCATCTTGAGATAGGAAAACACGAATAGCAGAATAACTCCAAAGTTAACTAATTTTGCCCTAAAGTCCCAAACATTTATTTTTGCAGTTAGTTGTCCTTGTTTGATTAAGCAATAAAGAGGTTGCAACCTTCAGAACATTGGTTTGCTGCTTGATCTAATTTGGGCTTGCCTCTTCTTTCCCCTTCAGTTGCAGCATCCAGCAGTGGGATTCAGAGGAACCAATCCCACAGGCAGAATTGCTAGCAGGGGTAGCTGGCAAAGATGGGCTCCTGTGTCTCCTGTCTGACCGGATAGACAAGAAAGTCTTAGATGCAGCAGGTGAGCGTGGAGAAGTGTCAGTGTATCATGGTGGGTCACTGTTCGCAATTGTAGTAGTTGCAGCATTCCAGAGCCAAATGATTGCCATTTGTGACCTTTCCAGCCATCTTCCCTCAAGCAAAGTCAATGGGGAAGCCGGCAGGGAAGCTCCCAAGTCACAATCATGTGATGTCTTGCTTAATATTAGTCATGAATTTTCCAACCTCAGTTGTGGTCATAAGTTGAGGGCTACCTATGTAGACATTAGCTTGCTCAATATCACCCAACTATTACACAGCAGGGAAAATTTTTATTAGATGCTTTGATAACTTTTGAGAATAATACAGTATTTCACTCTAGGAGAGCAAAATTTGTTTTGTAATTCCTTTCAGAGGAAAAGCCTCAGATGTTTGGGAGTGGATCCAACTCCAGCTTTATTTTCCTTCCTATCTCCTTCCTTCTGTGAAAGCTTGCCTCCAACCCCTCAGGATATCTGGCCAGACAGTCCGGATTTGAAAAACATCCCTTGAGCCAGATGTTCTGTTAAATCCCCTGATTTTATGTTGTATTCATATTTCTGTGCTATCTGCTTAAGAAATTCTGGCCTTGGTCTTTAAATATAAGAATCCATCATGCCGAAGAATTTTAAGCCATGATTCTATTAAGTGCTGAACATAAACATAATTAATATCTTCCTTTAAATGATGGTTTGTTTGCATATTAAGGGTCTTGTCATTCGGACTTCAGAATAGCCTGTTCTGGAGCTGAATATTTACGTATTAGTCTGAATTAAGATTGCATTCACCTCATAAAATAGTAGTTGATTAGTGAGCCAAAAAGGAGAGAAAAAAGGAGACTTGCTAAATATTTGGCATCTTAAAATCCATTAAGTGGCAATTTTTAAGCCTGAAAATAGAACTGTACAGTTTTCTCTTTTTTAACAATATATGATTTGGACTGTTCACCCAAAATAAGTGTTTAACTCAATTTAGATAGTTAAATACTCCAGAAAGGGTTGCAATAGTCCAGTGGTTAAAGATGCTGAGCTTGTCACCTGGAAAGTGGACAGCCCGGGTTTGAGACCCAAAAGCTGCGCAACAGAGTGAGCTCCTATTTTGTCCCAGCTCCTGCCCATCTAGCAGTTTGAAAGCATGCAAATGCGAGTAGATAAATAGATACCACTTGGAAGCATTCTGTGTGCCTTGGCATATAGTCATGTTGGCTACATAATCATGGAAATGTCTTCTGACAATGCTGGGGTCCCTTGGCTAAGAAACAGATGAGCACCGCCCCCTAGAATCCGACACAACAGGCAAAACCTTTAGATTTATATATTCCAGACTCTTCTAAGGGTTTGTGGTTTGGTTTGAATGCACACTAAAAAGAAAACAGTATTTTAAAAATGTTTGGTTTATTGAGATAAGGATGGTGTTTGTGCATTAACTAGTTAGCAGTTGCCATTCCATTAATTGATTAATTAATTATTAATGGACTTTAATGATTGAACTAACTTTTTGTTGACTGATGATGCAAATGATGTTTGTAAACCCAGTTAGATAAAAGTGGGCTTCCATTCATTGGTTCTTTTGATTTTTTTAAAAATGTTCATATTAAATCTTACCCAATTTTTCTGTGTTTTATTAATAAACAAGGTAGATACCTTGAAAAACATCTTTGCTGCTTGCCAACCTTTCACAATGTTATGGTAGTTGATCGGGTGGTAAGGCTGATATAAACTATCATTTGCCATTTTATAAATAATATTTTGTGTTCATATTAATGACTTTCATTCTGAGCATGCGGTCTTCATTTTTTCCAGGGCCAAACCTCAAAGTAATTAGTACATTGTCAGTGGGCTATGACCATCTAGCCATTGATGAAATTAAAAAACGGTAAGTCTTGTATAATTTAAAATTCAGCTATTCTACATCAGAGCAGGGGAGATTAGGAGAGAATTATAGTGGGAGGTTTAAGTGATATAGTCTGCCCCATTTCTTTTCACCATTAAAAACTGGAGTTCTTTTTCTGGGAAAAGCAGCAACTGAAGTATATATAATGCACGCCCAATCTCTTTAAAGGAAAAGCGCTTTTTTTTTGCAAAAATCACTAATTGTATAATTAGGTCGTAAGATGGGGCTTGGTTCAAGCAGCTTGGGTTTTAAGGTTCAAAGGATTGTGTCCTTTTTTTAAGAACTGCAGTTACTTGCCTCAACAAACTTAGACCATTTGCTTTTATGTATTATTTCAGAATATATTGTAAAATACAAAGCATTTGCATTTTATTATGTTACATAAATTCATTTTTAGAAACCAATTATGTCAAAGGGAAAGCAGACCACTTTCTTCCATTTATTTTTTCCTTTGTGCTACATTGACCCATCCATGGCCAGTTAACTCATGCACCTCTTCTCCGATTATATAAATTTTACAAAATAAAACACGTTTGTGCTTTGTGGATTACCTTATATACAAAGAATTTATTCCAGGGATTACTTCCATACTTTTATGGGATAAGAGACTTGCTGCCCTGACCTACCCATTATATGGTTAGGGTTCTTAGTTAGCCCTGCTTAAAAGTGCTCATCTCAAAGAAATGGTAATGAAAATGAGAAGAACAAGCCCCTTTTTAAATTCTAGTGGTATCCGTGTGGGGTACACGCCGGACATCCTGACCGATGCCACTGCCGAGCTGACAGTAGCTTTACTCTTAGCAACGTCTCGCAGACTCCCTGAATCAATACTGGAAGTGAAAAAGTGAGTATCTGCAATTTTGCTTGGGATAAAAGGTGGGGAGCATATTGTACTGGCTTTAATATTTGGAGGTGGCAGTAATCAGATAGCTACCATTCTGGTATGTTAGTCATACTATGACTGGTGTATGTTAGCAAATTTCAGGGGCCGGGGTTGGTAGAGCCTTTAGGACAAAGGTTGAGTTTGCAACAGTAAACAGTTTTAACTCTTGCTGGACTGCACAGGGAGAATTCTATAATCATAGTAGAGGCATCTTGCAAGTAATTCATTAATGCCTCTTTTGCATTTTGATTTTTTTTTTCTTGCAGTGGAGGATGGACGACATGGAAGCCTCTTTGGATGTGTGGCTACGGACTTTCAGGCAGCACAGTTGGGATTATAGGGCTGGGAAGAATAGGTAATCCTTGTTTTTTTAAATATCTACCTGGAAATTCAAATTTATTTTATATATAAAATGATTTCCATCAGGTAGGCTGGGAGAAGTAAATGGCAGCTTAAGCTTCAAATCATTGCCAGTTATTGTTAATTGACCAAGCACAACACAATGGAGAGGTACAGTTGTGCCAACTTTTCAAAACTGGACATTTGAACTTCAAAACTAGTCATCAGCAAAGTGATAACAAGTCTAGTGCAAAGTGGACTTTCTCCTGTGGATTACTCTTTAAACAAATAACTGTTACCCCAGAAGAGACCTTTTTGCCTTTTTTTTATTTTGTCATTGCTGTCACTCAGATATTAGACTTTCAGATATTGCTTCGGATGAGAATAAGAATAGATACTTTTATTTATTTTGGAAAATTTATATTGCCACCTACTTGCACATGACGACTCAAGGCAGCTTACACAGATATAGCACTTAGCAATAGCATTTAGACATATATAGCGCTTCACAGTGCTTTACAGCCCTCCCCAAGCGCTTTACAGAGTCAGCATATTGCCCCCAACAATAATCTGGCTCCTTATTTTACTGACCTTGGAAAGATGGAAGGCTGAGTCAATCTTGAGCTGGTGAGAATCGAACTGCTGAAAGCCTGCAGTACTGCATTCCAATCACTGCGCCACCACAGCTCTTAATATATAAATATAAAAACCATATAAAAGATAAAAATAATAAAATGAGGAATCATAAAATAATAAATCAGTAAAATAATCCCCCCTCCCCCCATCCCTGGCAACAACACACATTCTTACAAATCATTTAGTAAAGTATACTTTTGCCTAATCATGGGCCAGGAGTGACTCTGTCTTTTCTACTTGATCAAGTTGGGGTGCTGTAGGAGTTGCATTCATCAGACATGGCTGTGGTTCATATTTATAATTCTGGAATTGTTTTCCTTAATTTTTTGACTAATAGTGCAGTCCTTTGCCTAGTTGGAAGGCATCCTGGGAACTGAAATCTAGCATCTGAGGGACACCAAATTTGGGGGGGGGGGATCTTTGGTATAAATGATTTTTTTCAGAAATGACTATATATTTCTTACAACTATGACGTCAAGAGTGAAGTGTTTTTGTATTTTCCTTCTGCTTCTAGGGCGGGCCATAGGGTATCGTCTGAAACCTTTTGGAGTCAAAAGGTTTTTGTATACAAGTCGTCAACCCAAACTTGAAGCTGCTGCGGAATTAAAAGCAGAGTTTGGTGAGAGTTGTGTTTTATTTACATGAATTTCTTTATGTATGATTTTTCGTCTACTGATTGTTCTAAACAATTTAAATAGAAAACATTAATGAAACATGAGATTAAATAAGATTTACATGAAGTATTTCTTGGGATACTTGATTATGCTTGGGGAGAGATATAACTACGTTTTAATCTTTGTATTTATGATGGTAATTGTAAAAGTAAGAAGAGTACATGCCTTTCCTTAAAAAGGAATAAAGATGCCACCCTTAAATAATTTGATATATAAATAGGAGGAAAGTAAGAATTCATTAGTTTACTTTACATACTACAAATCAGGATCATTGTTGAAAAAGTATTACATTGGATGATGGCAGATTAGGGGATTGATAAATTATCAAAGTGCAGCATAAATTGGATGACATTTAGATTTTTTATTTCAAAAGTAACCATTAATTTGATTCTTTTTAAATATCAAGATCATTATTTTCCCTTTTTTATTCCTGTGGTTTTGGCAAATATAATAGAGGTGTAATTATTTCTTCACATTACTGGCTAAAAACTAGTAAAAGAAATTCTCTGCTTAACAATTGTCTATCTTGATTTTACCAGTGAAGTGTGAAAAAAGTACTAAAAGGAAAATTGTTTAGACTTAAATGACATCACTCCACACCCACACAAATGACTCAGTGGGAGGTTTCCTTGCTAACTGACCTATTAGAAAAATGGGTGACTGAATGCCAGCGAAAGAAAGCTAGTATCCTAATAATTTATAGCAGTTTTTTGTTCTTTTTTACAAGTATCCATTGACAAGCTAGCAAAGGAGTCGGACTTTGTCATTGTAACTTGTTCTTTGGTTCCTGAAACCCAAGGGATGTGCAATCGGGACTTCTTTCGTAAGATGAAGGAAACATCAGTATTCATCAATACAAGCAGGTTAAAAAAATATTGCCCCATTATTTATTCTTTCCTATTCTATCCTATTTCGTACCATTGAATTCACCCAGATTCACCTGTATTCTTCACAGCACAGCACCCATAGTTCCTCAATTTTGCACCTGCCGTGAGAGTTACCTCTAGCCAATAATCCACTTTCAACTAGTTGAGGAAAGCTGAGCTATATGGAAATAGATCAGCCTTCCTCAACTAGTTGAAATCAAATGTATCTGGTGGGTGAGTCATTAAATGGGCATCCCATTCCACAGCTAATTAGATAAATACTGTATTTATCTCTTAACTATCCATCACTGTCTATAATGCCATTATTTAAACTATAATAATGTTATTCCTAAAACAGCAAACCTAGTGCCCCTATGATTGCTATATGGGATATTTTGCATCAAGTCTTGCTGCTTATTAAGGTATATTGTTTATAGTTATCGTAAGATTATTCTTAAAAGATTTCCTACCAGGAAAGGTAGGAAACAAATATAATAATCACAAATAAAGGGAGTATGCAAAAACTGCCCAAAGAAATCACTAACAATATCCCCTGGTATCTATATATTTGTTTAGTAGTAACTTGTATGTACAATACAATAGCAGAGTTGGAAGGGACCAGGCAGGAAACCCTATACCATTTCAGACAAATGGCTATCCAACATCATCTTAAAGACTTCCAGTGTTGGGGCACTCACAACTTCTGGAGGCAAGCTGTTCCATTGATTAATTGTTCTAACCGTCAAGAAATTTCTCCTCAGTTCTAAGTTGCTTCTCTCCTGGATTAGTTTCCACCCATTGTTTCTTGTTCTACACTCAGGTACCTTGGAGAAGTTTGACTCCCTCTTCTTTGTGGCAACCCCTGAGATATTGGAACACTGCTATCATGTCTCCCCAGTCCTTTTTTTCATTAAACTAGACATACCCAGTTCCTACAACCGTTCTTCATATGTTTCAGTCTCCAGTCCCCTAATCATTTTTATTGCTCTTCTCTTCACTCTTTCTAGAGTCTCCACATCTTTTCTACATTGTGGTGACTAAAACTGAATGCAGTATTCCAAGTGTGGCCTTACCAAAGGCATTATAAAGTGGTATTAACACTTCATGTGATCTTGATTCTATCCCTGTTTATGTAGCCTAGAACTGTGTTGGCTTTTTTGGCAGCTGCTGCACACTGCTGGCTCATATTTAAATGGTTGTCCACTAGGACTCCAAGATCCCTCTCATAGTTACTACTATTTAGCAAGGTACCACCTATACTGTACCTGTGCATTTTGTTTTTCTTGCCTAAATGTAGAACCTTACTCTTTTCACCACTGAATTTCATTTTATTAGATAGTGCCCAATGTTCAAGTTTGTCAAGATCCTTCTGTATCTTAAGCCTATTTTCTGGAGTGTTAGCTATTCCTGCCAGCTTGGTGTCATCTGCAAATTTGATGAGTTTCCCATTTATTCCCTCATCCAAATCATTGATGAAGATGTTGAAGAGTACTGGGCCCAAAACAAAGCCTTGGGGTATTCCACTGCATACTTCCCTCCATGTAGATGCAGTTCCATTGAGGATTAAATGTTGAGTGCAGTTGGTCAGCCAGTTATAAATCCGTCTGATAGTGATACTGTCTAACTCACATTCTTCTACTTTATCTAGTAGTAGGTTATGGTCTACCTCAAATGCCTTACTGAAGTCCAAGTAAATTATATCGATAGCCTTCCTCTGGTCCACTAATTTTGTCACTTTGTCAAAGAATGCAATAAGATTAGTCTGGCACGGTCTGTTTTTGACAAACCCATGTTGGCTTTTGGCTATTACTTTGTTTACTTCTAGGTGTTCGCTAATTCGTTGTTTGATTATCTTTTCTAAAATCTTTCCTGGTATTGAAGTCAGGCTGATAGGTCTGTAGTTCCCTGGATCTATTTTTTTCCCCTTTTTTGAAGATGGGAACCACTTCAGCTCTTTTCCTGTCCTCTGGCAGTTCCTGGTGCTCCAGGATCTCTGAAAGATATAGTTCAGTGGTTCTGAGATCTCGTCTGCCAGTTCCTTCAGAACCCTGGGGTATAATCCACCCGGTCCTGGTGATTTGAACTTGTCTAGGGTAGACAGGCTCACTTACCATATGTATTACATCTCAATCTCTAACTAATGCTTCAACAACTTCATAAATTAAAATTTCCATCGCTGAAGAAGATACTATATTTCAACCAATGTTCAAACATTCAGTATTTCTTCATCCTTGCATTAGCTGCTGCTGCTGCTTCTCTGTTTCAGGGACATGACATTGTGTACAAGAGGGGAAGGAAATATACCTGTTTCCTGGGTTAGAGTTCCATCTTTGTGGAGGCTATACCACTGCTGTGATATATTTTCACATAGGTTTTCTTCTTCCTGTGTTATTAGAATGCTGTGACACTTAAATAATTCAGATGTAAAGTTTTCTTCATGCAGCCATTTATATTTAAGCACCATGTTGAAAATAATCAAATGAATATCATTTAGTTCAACCCCTCAGCTACTTTAGAAAGAAATGAATCTACTTTTCTTGGCTCAGTGTATTTAAGGTTAAAACACCTTAAAGGAAATGATTATGCCTTAAATTACACCTTGTTTGATCCTTAGCATCATTTCTGTCACTATTTCTGTTCTCAGTTTGAACATGTGTACACTCATACTTTTCTATATACTTGGAATTGTTTTGGATACAGCCAAGCAAAATATTTTCTAAAGGCAGGGATTGATAATCCCCTTCTAATCTGCAAGTAGGCCATAGGAGAGGAGCTAGAGGTATATCATCACTGGCGTTAACAGGGCAAAACTTTTAGAAATGTTATTTTCTGTTTTTGAGGCTTTGAGAGGGGTGTTTCATGAGCACTGAATCTTGCAATATGTTGGGATATACTTGTACTTTAAGTATCTCCAAATATGAAAAGCAATGATGGGGGGTGGCGCAATAAGTTTTAGGGAAAATTTTCTGATGTTAAAACTTACGTTTTTTAAAAAAAGTGCAAGATTGTTTGTTATACCTGCTGTGAGATCTACAAGTAAGGAACTTCTTGTGGCCTGCAGGTTGCTCACTTCCAAGATAAATGTATGCATTGAATACATACATATAAATGTATGTATCATCAATCAAACTAGTGATAATTGCTGACTGGGAATTATGGAAACTGAAATCCATTACATCTGGAAGACACCTAAGACAGGCTATATATACAAAAATTGGAAAATAACAGTGTTATTTCTCAATTGCCAAAATCCACAAAGGGACAAAATTAGGAATTTTCTTATATTTCCATGGGACATAAAACATGATAGCCAGTTTGGTATAGTGGTTAAGGCATCAAACTAAAAAAGTTCTAGTCCCATTTTGGGCACAAAGTCAGTTGGATGGCCTTGGGCCAGTTATTTTCTCACAGCCCTATGACAGAGGCAATGCCAAACTGCTCCTGAAAAACCTTGCCAAGGAAACCACAGGAACTTGTCAGGTCCCCAAGAATCGGACAATTGAATAAAAGAGTAGTATACTAAAATCCCATCTCTCTTATTTTATTTTATCCAGGGGAGCAGTAGTCAATCAGGAGGATCTTTATGAAGCTTTAGTGAATGGGGAAATTGCCGCAGCTGGTTTAGATGTCACAACCCCAGAACCTCTGCCAACAGACAATCCACTTCTTTCTCTCAAAAATTGTGGTAAGATTATTTAATTTGCATTGCTACTTCAGCACTGTTTTTTGACATGGAGATTGTGACTGGTAGACATCAACCAATAATGGATCATTCACTTTGATCAGTTTGCAGATAAAGAGTCCTGTGGTTTTAAGGAGAAGATACATACTTAAGCAGATTTTTTTCAATTTTAAGGGCTAGAAATGTTTTGATTTAAACATAGAAGATATTCAATAGTGGCGATGGGGTAGGATGAGGGTGGAGGTTCATTCTTCAAATGTTTCGTTACCAGCTAGGTAACATCCAACCACTAAACTCCGCTGAAGATGTTACCTAGCCTGTAATGAAATGTTACATCTCTGCTGAAGATGTTTCTAGCCTGGTAACAAAATGTTCGGAAACCAACCCATAACCTTGGAGAATGAACTTTCGCCCTCATAAAAGATCTGTTAAATCATTCCACATCCCCAATCTGCACTATTTTCCATGCTTCTGTAGTTACAGCATAAGCCTAGTATTTCCCAAGGTATCAGAGCTTCTAGAGGAAAAAAGAAAAACAGACATTCCACTCACTCTGCTTGTTTCACAATGAATCACTGTAATTCCATTCAGAGAGTTTGGCACACTTAGGTTGTGGCTAAGCTGACATTGCAATTAAAAGGCACTTTTATACACTAATTTAACAAAGGGTTGTTTTGACACTTTACATGTAGCATGTACTGATGATACTTTTTTCTCTTTCATGTGTTAAAACAGTAATCTTGCCTCATATTGGAAGTGCCACTTACTCAACAAGGAATGTAATGTCAGCGTTGGCTGCTAACAATCTTTTGGCTGGCTTGAACGGAGAAGATATGCCAAGTGAACTTAAACTATGAGAAGCTAGCCTACTCAAGTTAATATAAATTGTTTTTAAACGGGGTGGATTTAACTTTTTGGCCCCCGTCAATTCTGATTGAGCTTGTTGCCTTTCAAATAAAATAGAATACATAATAAATCATGTTTTTCTGTGTCATAATTTTTTAAAAGCAATATGCTAAAACGTGCAAGAACTGGTGAATAATATGTACTATGATTTGCATATGCCTCTACAGTGGTCCAATTAACAGGGAAAAGGTAAGAAAGCAAGCTTAAGAATTATGAGATTCCTTTTGTCAATTATTTCAACAAGTGCATTTAAGCAGAGACATTATTTTAATAGACTCAACATATCCATAACTTTAGCAGACACTACATTCTGCATAAAAAGTTGGATGGCATCACAGCCTTATTCTTCCCATCAGCAACTAACTACAATACAGCAAATACATAAAGTAATATCTAATAACGGTGGTAAAATTATGAGTTCCCCTATCCTGCACTATTTTTGCTTCTAATATTGACATGAGTTTATCAAATTGCTGCCAGATGTCACTGTAAAATCCTATAAAGAAAATTCTTATTTTAGAATTTTGCAAAAAAAAAAAAACCCAAACCCAACAACTATTAGTGTTTCAATTTCTTTTTCTTGTGATCTGGGTAAAGATACTTAACTAGATTTTTCTATAGTCATTTGTTTTTCCTCACAGCTACCGTATCCATAATCTCAGCCACGTTAAAATGTATAAGGTACATTATGGATTGCAGAGCTAGCCTAAAACCCATGGTCTGTATAGTTATAGCTATACCAGTAACACTACATTTAGTAACAGAAATTATTGAACAGAGATGTATTACAATTTGATGGTAGAATAATAAGTGTGTAAAAGAAACAACACCTTGGGTTTTATGATTGAAAACACCAGGCTAGAAACAGAGAGCCTGTCCTACCTTAGGCATGAAAACAGGCTGGGTGTCTTTTAGTCCAGCCATTCTTCCTCGGCCCAGCCCGCTTCACAGGATGGTTGCTGTGGGGAGAATAGGAAGAAGTAACAGGTATGTTTACCACTTTGAGTTATCTATAGAAGTGAGATTTAAAAATTGAAAATATGCTGCAGAACTCTGGAATATTCTAAAATATCCATAACCTTGATACACACAGAAACTGTTGCTTAAATGGGGGTTTAATCTAACAGCCATGATAAATGCCAACCTTAGTTCACTAAGGTAGTTTTTCTTAAACAGCTGCCAATGCAAAGTAAGTCCCATTATCATAGATAGCAGTACAATATTTTTAGAGACCCATTCAGCTTTAAATACTCTATAGAGTAATAAAGAATATTTTAGAAGCATTGAGGAGTGTTTAAAGGAATCCCTAATCACAAAGAATGTGATTTAACAAATTACTTTTAACTTCCAAGAAATGAAAATTATTTGAAATAATAACAGTAGACTTAAGACTTATGTTGAATTTTAACACATTGAATACAAATTGATTAGAAACACTATCAAGGATAATACATAAACACTTCACTTTCTAGTACAAGATTTTACAAAAGGAAATCTATGAAACACCTAGATTTTGCAGTATTCAAAAGTGTATATACACACACACACATATCAGACAGTCTAAAACGTACTTGCATTGTATTCAAGGTAAGCACCTTCATTACACAGTGTATGTTACTGCAAAACAACCAAAAATACATTCAGACCCCTAAAACTATGTTAAACTATCACACACTTTAAAAGCACTTTGAGGTGCAAAGATGGTTTCATCTTCAAGATATGTAACCTTTCACAATAAAGAGCTCTTTGTTATGTTGTTCACACACTCTAAGCAACCTATTATACAGATAAATGCTTTCACGTCATTAAAAAAGCCATTAAAAAGTTTGCCCTTCATCTTATAACAATACTAGCTAATTATGCATTAGCTATACAAGTAAGCTTTCAGACTATCCAATCAGAAAGAACAATACCAAGTATTGTATCCTTATGTAATATGTACAGCCCAATCCTAAACATGCTTACTTGGAAATAAACCCCAGAACATTCAATGGGGCTTTCTCCCAAGGATTGCAATCTTTTTATTTTGTGACAGAGCTGGATAATTTCAAAGCGCTTTTAAAAAGTTGTTTAAGCCTCACAACACCCCTGTGAGGTAGGTATGGTACAAGTATTAAAAATAATCAAGCCTTTTTTTAAGGTGTGTGGCAGAATCACACTGTAAGTGTTTGCCTCTTATACTCCATGCGTTCCTAAAATTATTGGCAACATGGGACAGAGGAAAAGAATTAAAGCAAAGTGCTGGGTAAATTGCTGCTCTGCCAGCGAAGACAAGTAGTTTTGGAATGTTTATACAGATGGCTCGACTGACTGAATCTCTTGCCACACTTTAAACAAGCATATGGTTTCTCCCCAGTATGCACGCGAATGTGCTTCTTGCAGTCTGTTAGGGTCAGAAAAGTCTTGCAGCAAATTTTGCAGGCATATTTACGAGCGCCTTCTACTACCAGGACATTGTGTTCAGATAAGGCCTTTTTACACTTTGAAAGAACATCAGCAGAGGCTCTGGTCAGCTGTGGTGGGCCAGGTTGGGAAGAATGTCCATTTTCAAAAGAGGAAGTAGCCCCGTTCATTAGCAACTGAGAATTTGGAGCATTGTCTGACATTTGAGAGCTCCGAACAGAAGTCACAACAGGCATTTTGGGAGCTATGCGACGATACCCAGGAAAGTTGTTGGCACCACCCCTTGAACTCATTACTGCCCTTGACAAAGAATGCAATCCGAGGCCAGATCTTGGAAAGTCCATCCCAAATTGCTCTGCTGTGCGGTAGCCAGAAGTTTGTACACAAGGAAGGCCCATGACATCCTGCATAGGCCTGACAAAATGTGAGTCTGTGCTATCATTAAAAGGATTCTCCACATGAGAAACAGAAGCTGAAGAATGACTATTAGCAGGACCAGATTCTGGGCTGATTAAATAAGAGGCATCACCATCCATTCTACAGTCACTAGTTGTATTTGGAATGTTGTCCTCATGATTCTGGCTGGCACCAAAACTACTGGCTCGGCTCTTATTCAGAAAGTTTGAAATACTAAAAGTGGACTTGTGTTCTATGTTATTTCCTACCTCCATAATATGAATGTCCCCCACTCTATCGGTACTAGACTGTGGGTCAGAAAAACTACGATCGCTGCTTTCAGGGCTCAGTTCTATTTTTTCAGCATTTACACCTCCACCTTCCACTTCAACTGATTCACTTCCCTCTGCTTGAGAAGTGACATCACTCACTTCATCCTGGGGTTCTGGAGAACTCAAAGGTTCAGATTTCACCACTACTCTCATGTGTTCTTTTTCACTTAGTCCAACCTCAGGATTCTCACACTGAAAATTGTTTTTTTGGGAAGTGGCGTCTTGATCAAAACTAGTTTCCACTTGAGTTGCCTGTGATGCCATAGACATTTGAGAAATAGTTCCCCCACTGTTGTCAGACTGGCTGGGCACTTGAGCATCTTCCTGGGCACTAAAAGACTGATCGAACATAACGGTATTATCTTCCTGGTTATCATTCACACCATTAGTCTTAGAATTGTCCACAATTTTCAAGGAGTCTGGGGAAAAAAATTCATCTCGTGAATGAGCCACAGTCTGTGCGCTTTCAGGAGTAACATCTGACATGATAGAATCATCCATGGAGGGCCTAATGCGTTGTCTAGCCCTTTCTTCAGAAGACTGTTTACGTTTGTGGAGACGCCGTATTGGAAAAGCACTTCGTTGTTCAATGTTACTTCTGACTGATGAGCTCATAGAATTTGTCTGCTCTTCTGTGCTTTGGGTAGAATTTAATGCAGAGCTCACTATACTTAACCCAAGCTGCTGAAGCATGAAAGACCGCTGCATGCGTGCATTCTGCTCTTGAACTCTATCACTTGGTGGAGACATGGGTAATGTCCTTGTAGTGAGATAGTGTTTGCATGCTTTTACCACAGAGTTCAAATGGAGGTGAGAAGCTGCTAACAACACATCCATAACATTGCTCTCTCCAAGCATGAGTGTAGAGGTATACATCATATCAATGAGAGCAGCAAAAGCTTCAGCTGTCACTACTTCACTGTCTAACTGGATCATATTCATAGTCTGATCGCCTTCTGCTACAGTAAAGAGAGCTCGGAAGTGTGTGCTGCATGCTGCCAAAACAGAACGATGTGCTTTGAAGTGCCTATTTCCAACCACAATGACACAATCACAAAGTTGACCATGGAGCCGTTGATAGTTCAATTGCTGGAAGATTTGCTCGAAGTGCCCTGGAAAATCCATGATCCTACAAAAGAAAATAAAACATGCTTTAAAAAGGTAAGAATATAAACATCTTGGCATTTTATCCCCCCAACTAAAGAAGTTTTAAAAACAAAAGGGATTATAGTAGTTTCCAAAATGTTTTAGATTTGGAATATCTTTAGAATTACTCTCACAAACTACTTGCTATAACAGTGTGCTGAATAAAAGGCACTCACTTAACAGAAGACAAGCGGGCAAGTTTATTCATCAGGACTAACAGCATCACCAAATGTTGTCTATCATCTAACATAAATTGTTTTTTAGTAGATGGACTCCAAGAAAGCTCTATATTACAGCCATCAATAGTTTTTGATTTTAAGATCTCAAGTTCTCTACAAAACCTAGAACCATTTTTGGAAATATAAATTATGGATGATATTGTTATCCTATAGCACAATATCTTCTTATTTATTTAACATTTTGCACTGTCAGTTATGAAAGTATTTTGATAATACAGGTAAAAAAATATGGAAGGCCCCCCAAATAAATCCTAGTGCTTATTTTGGACATCAAAATAAGGAAACGGAAACACAGTAATTCAGATACTTTTGTATTTGAGACAAAAATGAATAGAGCCGTTTTTAAAGCTAGGTTTACTAGAAAACATCTTTACCTAAACAAAGTTATCAGAACATCTTTTAATGCAAGCTGTAACTTCTTTCAGGCAAATTAGCCTATTTCCTATTTTAAATAGGAAAACTTGCCTATTCTTGAAAAAAATATCTCATGTAGAATAAGTCCATCAAAACCCTGGCTAATGAAAATACAATCTACTCCTTGGGCTAGACTCCCATTGCTTATTATTAATAAAAATAATAATTTCCAAGACAAATATGAGATTCTTTTATGGAAAAAGAGAAACAATAATTTAGTGCTATTTTGCCATTTTTCCCAGCCAGTGATCTGACAGTGCTCATAGAACTCGCTTATCTAGAAATATGGCGTATAATTTGTTATCTTAGAAATGTCCTACAGCAAGAAAAATGGCAGAACTAGAACTCGATCCAGTGTCTTCTGTTTGAATCTAAATGCAATAGTCACATTTTAGAACTAGGATCAAGTAAACTATGATAAGAAGAGTCTATACATGTTTTCTGAGATTTTCTATAAAAATGCCCTAAATAGAAAATATGGGGGGGGGGGAATTAATTATGCAGCCCAGAGGTTTTTTCAACAAATATAAGCTCTGATTTAGCCTCAAACATGTCCATTTAAACCCATCAATCAAACTAAAACAAATTTAGCTTGAAGTTTTTGAGAATCCCTGCTTTTTCAAATACTATATTCAGCAAACTAGACTAAAGTTCTGGCCTCTTTTAAGGCAGTTGTATGTAGTTATTTATACTTCACAATCAAGTTCTGGTATACATAATCAGCATCTCATTCAGTGTTTGTGATGATAAAGAGACATATCTCTTGATTTAATGAGCATTAAAGTCAAGTTCTTAAAATAATGTTGTTCTTCTCTAAAGTCATTTTATGTCAAGGTACAAAAACAGAGTAAGTCCATAAGGCTTTTGCCGCAAACTATTGTGTGTTGGATGGTTGAAATCAGGAACAGAAATCTGGTGGTGGTGGTTTTTTTTTTTTAAAGGCATATTCTCTTTAATATATTAAAGAACTGGATATATCCTATTCATTTCAATGTTCTTCCTGGCTCAGCAAGTATCTTATAATCTGTACAGAAGTTG